TTTTTTGAGACGGAGTTTTGCTCTTGTTACCCAGGCTGGAGTGCAATGGCGCGATCTCGGCTCACCGCAACCTCCGCTTCCTGGATTCAGGCAATTCTCCTGCCTCAGCCTCCCGAGTAGCTGGGATTACAGGCTGCGCCACCATACCCAGCTAATTTTTTGTATTTTTAGTAGAGACGGGGTTTCACCATGTTGACCAGGATGGTCTCGATCTCTTGACCTCGTGATCCACCCGCCTCAGCCTCCCAAAGTGCTGGGATTACAGTCGTGAGCCACCGCGCCCAGCCCGACTTTAAGAGTTCTTTATACATTCTGATATAAGTCCCTTATCAGAGATATGATTTGGAAACATTTTCTCCCTTTTTTTTTTTTTGAGACATGGTCTCACTCTGTCACCCAGGCTGCAGTGCAGTGGCGTGATCTCGGCTCACTGCAACCTCTGCCACCTCTAGGTTCAAGCAATTCTCCTGCCTCAGGCTTCTGAGTAGCTGGGATTACAGGCACGTGTCACTACACCCAACTGATTTTTTGTATTTTTAGTAGGAACAGGGTTTCACCATGTTGGTCATGCTGGTTTTGAACTCCTGACCTTGTGATCCACCTGCCTCGGCCTCCCGAAGTGCCGGGATTACTCTCCCCAGACGTGAGCCGCCGCGCCTGGCCTTTTTCTCTCATTTGTGTGGGTTGTCTTTTCACTTTCTTGATGGTAGCGTTTGTAACACAAAAGCTTTACATGTTGATGCCCATTTTTTTTTTTTTTTTTTTTTTTTTTTTTTTTGCTTTTTATTTGTCACCTGTTCTTTTGGTGTGTATACAGGTTTCTGTGTGAACCTCAGTCTCATTTCACTTGGATAACTGCCCAAGACTGTACTTACTGGATCAAATGGTAGTTGCATGTTTCCTTTTATTTTTTAAAACTGCCAAACTGTTTTCTCAAGTGTCTGTACCATTTTACATTCCCACCAGGAATGTCTGAGTGACCTGTTTGTCCGTGTCCTTTCAAGCATTTGGTGTTATCGCTGTTTTTTATTTCAGTCATTTGATAGGTGTGCAGTGACACCTCACTGTGGTTCCGGTTTGCCTTTCCCCAGTGGCTGATAATGCTAAACATCTTTCCATGCACTTATTTGCCATGTGTATATCCTCTAGTGTAAAATGTCTCTTCATGTCTTTTGCTCATTTTTTAATTGGATTGTTTGGTTTTTTAGTTGTTTGGTTTTGAAAGTTCTTACGGCCGGGCGCGGTGGATTACGGCTCAAGCCTGTAATCCTAGCACTTTGGGAGGCTGAGGCGGGTGGATCATGAGGTCAAGAGATCGAGACCATCCTGGTCAACATGGTGAAACCCCGTCTCTACTAAAAATACAAAAAATTAGCTGGGCATGGTGGCGCGCGCCTGTAGTCCCAGCTACTCAGGAGGCTGAGGCAGGAGAATTGCCTGAACCCAGGAGGCGGAGGTTGCGATCTCACCATTGCACTCCAGCCTGAGTGACAAGAGCGAAACTCCATCTCAAAAAAAAAAAAAGAAAAGAAAGTTCTTACATATATGCAAGATACTGTCCTTTGTCAGACATTTAGGTTCATGACCCATTTTTAATTAATTACTTCAGATGTAAGACTTAGTTTGAGGTTCTACTCCTGCTGCCCTCATGGATGTCCGGTTGCCCTAGCAGCAGTTTTTGAAAGGCTGTCATTCCTTACGGAATTTTGCAGCTCTGTCCAAAGTCAGTTGGGCCTATTCTTGGTCCGTTTCAGAGTTTTTAGTCTGTTCCATTGGTGTATGTGTCTGTTTCTTCCACGCTGTCTTTATTACTGAGTAGGTCATATCATTAAGTAGAGTGATTTCTCCCACTTTATACTTCTTTGCTGGTTGTTTTAGCCCTTCTAAGGCATGTGCCTTGCCTTTCTGTGTAAGCTTATCTAGCTCTATAAAAACTATTGCTGGGATTTTGATAGGAATTACACTAAACCTACAGATCAACTTGAGAAGAATTAACATCTTTATTATGTTGAGTCTTTCAATCCATGAACATGGTATGTTTCTTCTGGAGGCCAGTGGTATGACCAAGGCTTACTGCAGCCCTGATCTCCTGGTCAACCCTCCTGCCTCAGCCTCCTGACTAGCTGGAACTACAGGTACACTCCACCACACCTGGCTAATTTTTTTTTTTTCATTTTTTGTAGAGATGGGGTCTTGCTTTTTACCCAAGCTGGTCTTAAACTCCTGGCCTTCAGCGATCCTCCCAAAGTGCTGGGATTTTAGGCATGAGCCACCACACCCAGCCTTCTTTGATTTTTTTTTTTTCCATCAGCATTTTATAATTTTCAGTATACAGATCCTATATATATTTTGTTAGGTAATAAATACCTAAGTATTTCATTTTCTTTGGGGTGATTGCAAATGGCAGTGTTGTTTTTAAGTTTTATTTCTGAATGTTGTTAGTAGATAGAAATGCAATTTATTTTCGTATGCTGATCTTGCTGTATTCATTTCTTAGTTCCAGGAGGGTTTGTGTAGATTCCGGGGGATTTCCATGTCATCGCCAGTAGGGAGTTTTCTTTCTTTCTTCTCAGCATGTCTTTTATTCCTGCCTTATTACAGTACTTAGAACTTCCATCACTACGTTGAGGAAGAGTGGTGAAAGTGGACATCGTTGCCCTTGCTCCTGATCTTAGTGGGAAAACATTCAGTCTTTCTTCACTTCCTTGAGAATATGTTAGCTGTCAGTTTTTGTAAATGTTATTTTTCTAGTTGGAAAAAAGGTTTTCCAAACTTGTTGAGAGGTTTTTTTTTTTTTTTTGAGACGGAGTTTCGCTCTTGTTACCCAGGCTGGAGTGCAATGGCGCGATCTCGGCTCATCGCAACCTCCGCCTCCTGGGTTCAGGCAATTCTCCTGCCTCAGCCTCCCGAGTAGCTGGGATTACAGGCACGCGCCACCATGTCCACAGTGCTGGGATTACCACAGTGGTGGGATTACAGGCGTGAGCCACCACGCCCGCCCGAGAGTTTTTATCATGTCTGGTTATTACAGTTTGTCAAAATACCTTTTCTGCATCAGTTAATAAGAGCAAATGGTTTCTCTCCTAGAGCCTGTTGACATGGTGGATTACACTGATTGATTTTCCAATGTTAAATAGCCTTGCAAACCTGGAATGAATCTTACTTGGTCATGGTAAAGAATTCTTTTTATATACCGTTGTATTTGATTTGCTGATATTTTGTTAAATACTTTCATGTCTAAGCTCATGAGTGAAACTGATCTGTGGTTTTCTCTATTTTCTATTAGCTTCCTTGAGTTTCGTTGTCAGAGTAATATTAGCTTCACGAAGATAAACTGGGGAGTGTCCTCCTCTTCTACTTTTTTTGGAAGAGATTATATGAAACTGGTATAGCGCGGTGGCTCAAGCCTGTAATCCCAGAACTTTGGGAGGCCGAGGCAGGTGGATCACGAGGTCAAGAGATTGAGACCATCCTGGTCAACATGGTGAAACCCCGTCTCTACTAAAAATACAAAAAATTAGCTGGGCATGGTGGTGCGTGCCTGTAATCCCAGCTACTCAGGAGGCTGAGGCAGGAGAATTGCCTGAACCCAGGAGGCGGAGGTTGTGGTGAGCCGAGATCGCACCATTGCACTCCAGCCTGGGTAACAAGAGCGAAACTCCGTCTCAAAAAAAAAAAAAAAAAAAAAAACTGGTATAGCGGTATTTCTTCTTTAAATGTTTGGTAGAATTCTTCCATCTGAGCCTGGGAATTTATTTTCAGGAGATTTTAAAATCACAGATTCAACTCTTAAATGGTTATAAAGCTATTGAAACTGTTTCTTTTTTCTTGGTTAAGTTGGGTAGTTTGTAGTTTTCAAGTAATTGATCTTTGTTTTCTTTTGTAGAATTCACTAGCTCAAAATTGTTTGTATAGTTTCTCATACTGGCTGCAGGATCTGTAGTGATACTCTGTTTCATCCTTGATATTGGTGATTTACATCTCGTCTCTTTATTTTTGTCAGTTTTGCTGAAGGTTTATCAATTTTACCGATTTTTTTTAAAAACGTCTTTTTCATTTCACTTTATTTTCTCGATTGTTCTCTCGATTTCCATTTTATTGATTGTTCTCTTTATTATTTCCTCCCTTCTGCTTGCTTTGGTTTATTTTGCTGTTATTTTTCTAGTTTCTTGATGTAGGAATTTAGATTGTTGTTTTGAGATTGTTCATCTTCTCTGTTGCAAACGTTTAGTAATATACATTTCTCTCTCAGCACTGCTCTTGCTGCAATCCGTGTATTTTATATGTTGTATCTTTATTTTCATTCAGTTCTATTTTTTTTTTGTTTGTTTTTTAGGGTTTTTGTTTTTTTGTTTGTTTGTTTGTTTGAGACAGAGTCTTGCTGTATCACCCAGGCTGGAGTGCAATGGCGTGATCTCGACTCATTGCAACCTCCGCCTCCTGGGTTCAAACAATTCTCCTGTCTCAGCCTCCCAAGTAGCTGGGATCACAGGCATGCACTGCTACGCTTGATTAATTTTTGTATAGTAGAGACAGGGTTTTACCATGTTGACCAGGCTGGTCTCAAACTGCTGACCTCAGGCGATCTGCCCGCCTCAGCCTCCCAAAGTGCTGGGATTACAGGCATGAGCCACTGCACCCAGCCCAGTTCTGTGTAATTTTTATATCTTCCTTGAGACTTACTCTTGACCCATGGATTATTTAGAAGTGTATTGTTGAATTTTAGAACATTTACAGATACTCCTGTTGGTTTTCTGTGATTATAGTTTACGTTCATTGTGATTAAATTATATACTCTGTATGTCTTCAGTTCTTTTACATGTGTTGAGGTTTGTCTAATGGCCAAAGATGTGGTCTCTCTAGGTAAATATTCCATGGGCTTTTAGGGGGGAAAAAGTGTACTCTGGTGTTGTTGAATGGTGTCTTGCTCCATTCAAGCTGCTACAACAAAGTGCTATAAACTGGGTGATTTATAAACCACAGAAATTTCTCTCTTGCAGTTCTGGAGGCTGGGAAGTTCCAGATCAGAGTGCCACCAGATTCGGTGTCAGGTGAGGACTTGCTTCCTGGCTCACAGATAAGAGCTGCAGGCATGTTTAGGCCCATCATGTCTTCCTGGCGGATGAATCCCGTTATCATTAGGTGATCCTTTCAGTATTTTTAAAAAAGAATCTGTTTAATAGCCTACTAGTATTCTTCCTTTCCTATTTTACTGAGAATTCATTAATCCTAACATTAAGTCTATGTCAGGACTCATGACTGTGTGAAAATTTTATAGTATTGGAGGCTGAGGCAGGAGAATTGCTTGAATCCAGGAGGTGGAGGTTGCAAGGTTTCAGTGAGCTGGAATCGTGCCACTGCACTCCAGCCTGGGTGACAGAACAAGACTCCATCTCAAATAATAATAATAATATATCCTGCAAGATTCAAAGTGAACTTCAAATAATCTTATACAGTCTTAGCTATGGGATGCATCCCAGTATTGAGATGAAGCAGGGATTGAGTGTTTGAGGGAGGGAGGTGTACCCGAATCTAGGGCATGAACACAAGAAGCCATATCAGAACCTCAGGTGTATACCAATGAGATAGATCAGAACTTCAGGCGTGTACCTGGTGAGACAGGTCAGAACCTCAGGCTTGTACCCACTGATAGATCAGAACCTCAGGCACGTACCTGGGGAAGACAGATCAGAACCTCAGGTGTATACCAATGAGATAGATCAGAACTTCAGGCGTGTACCTGGGGAGACAGATCAGAACCTCAGGTGCATCTCTTGTGAGACAGGTTAGAACCTTGGTCATGTACTCAGTGAGATGGGTCAGAACCTCAGGTGCGTACCAGTGAGATAGATTAGAACCTCAGATGTGTACCCGCTGAGACAGATCAGAACCTCAGGTGCATCTCTTGTGAGACAGGTCAGAACCTCGGGCATGTACTCAGTGAGATGGGTCAGAACCTCAGGTGCGTACCAGTGAGATAGATTAGAACCTCAGATGTGTACCCACTGAGACAGATAAGAGCCTCAGGCGTGTAACCAATGAGCTATATTAGAATCTTGGGTATCTACGCAAAGAGGTATAGCAGAGTCTCAGGTATATACTCAAGAACGCATCTTAGGGTTTCAAGTATCTAGCTAAGGATTTTTGTATCAGGATCTCAGGTTTACACCTAGGGAGGCATAGCAGAATTTTGGGTATAGATCTAAAAATAGCTATCACAGTCTAGGGCCTATAGCCAAGGAGCTTTGTCAGAATCTCAGGCACATGCCCAGAGAGGCATTTTAGGACTAGTAAGGAGGTGGTAGATTTCAAAAGTCTAGCCTAACAGTTTATATACTTTGAAATTTAAAACAGTATTAAAAGATATCGTGAAATGTTTCTATTTGTTAGAAGGTGACATGTGTTCTAAACAATTAAAATATACTGGCTGTGGCCTTGTAACCAACTTATTATGCCTATAAAAATTACAGGCCCCAAGGTCCGGGATAGAATATAAGGGACGGACTTACCTTCTCACCTGAGACAACCAGTCCTCCATACAAATACATAAAATAATGTTTTCCAAGATGCTGAACTTCAGCGGTGAAGGGTAATGATGGTTATAAGACAAACAGGTGAGAGGTGTGGCTTGAGAGTTTCTAGGCTGCAGTGCATAGAGGGGAAACTGAGGCAGATCTTGGCAGACTTCCTCAGTTGACAAAATAGAGCTGAGAGTCCAGGGAGACCATGACGTATAGATTATCCCAGGCAAAGCATTAGAGGCGCAAGCCATGCACAGAGGGACTGCAGAGACCTACCAAAGTACTGCTTGCCACGTGCATGTGAGCAAAACTACTTGAGGCCAGGAAAAGAACCGTCTGAGAGGATTAGAAGGAACAGTGCCCAGCACTCCTGCCAGCCAAGTAGTGCTCGGTGCTCACGCAGGGCCAGGAACAGTGCAGACACTTGAGTGTTTGTTAGAAGAGGAAGGTATATCAGAATCATGGGCATAAACATAAGGAGCCATATCAGAACCTCAGGTATGTACCCGGTGAGATAGATCAGAACCTCAGGTGTAGACACAGCGAAATAGATCACACTCTCAGGTGTCTGCCCAGTGAGGGAGATCAGAATCTCAGGTGTCTATACAGTGAGATAGATCAGAACCTCAGGTGTCTGTCCAGTGAGATAGATCAGAACCTCAGGTGTAGACACAGCGAAATAGATCACACTCTCAGGTGTCTGCCCAGTGAGGGAGATCAGAATCTCAGGTGTCTATACAGTGAGATAGATCAGAACCTCAGGTGTCTGTCCAGTGAGATAGATCAGAGTCTCAGGTGTCTACACAGTGAGATAGATCAGAATCTCAGGTGTCTATACAGTGAGATAGATCAGAATCTCAGGTGTCTACACGGTGAGATATATCAGAATCTCAGGTGTCTATACGGTGAGATAGATCAGAATCTCAGGTGTCTACACGGTGAGATAGATCAGAATCTCAGGTGTCTACACGGTGAGATAGATCAGAATCTCAGGTGTCTATACGGTGAGATAGATCAGAATCTCAGGTGTCTACACGGTGAGATAGATCAGAATCTCAGGTGTCTACACAGTGAGATAGACCAGAATCTCAGTAGTCTGCCCAGTGAGATAGAGCAGAATCTCAGGTGTCTACACAGTGAGATAGATCAGAATCTCAGGTGTCTACACGGTGAGATAGATCAGAATCTCAGGTGTCTATACAGTGAGATAGATCAGAATCTCAGTAGTCTGCCCAGTGGGATAGATCAGAATCTGAAGTGTGCACCCAGTGAGACAGATTAGGAAAGATGAGTGAACTAGAAGGCATAACAACAGAAACTATTGAAAAATGAAGCACGCAATGAAAAAGGAATTTTTTTTTTAATGAAAACACTTTAATGAACTGTGGAATAACTTTAGGTAGCCTGATACATGTAAACCTAGAAAAAAAGAAATAGTGGGACCAATGCATTGACAAAATTTAGTTCTAAAATATGTATCTGATAACAGCTTAAAAATACGAGGAGCAAACACTGATAGAATTGCGAGGATACAGAGACAAATACACAATTATAGTCAGATTCACAGAACAAACACAGAGAATATCAGCAGGATGTGGGACATTCGAACAATGTTGACAACCAGCTTGATGTAACTGACATTTACCTACAGAACACCAAAAACAGCAGAATGTTCATTATTTTCAGGCACATACAGAACATTTACCAACATAGACCACATTCTGAGCAAGTCTCAGTAAATTTAAAAACATGCAAGTCATCCAAAATAGATTATCAGACCGTTATGGAATTAAATTAGATGGTGCCTGGGCACAGTGGCTCACGCCTGTAATCCCAGCACTTTGGGAAGCTGAGGCAGATGGGTCACTTGAGGTCAGGAGTTCAAGACCAGCCTGGCCAACATGGTGAAACCCATCTCTACTAAAAATACAGAAGTTAGCAGGGCATGGCGGTGCACACTTGTAATCCCAGCTACTCGGGAGGCTGAGGCGGGAGAACTGCTTGGACTTAGGAGGCGGAGGTTGCAGTGAGCCAGGACCGCACCACTGCACTCCAGCCTGGGTGACAGAGCAAGCCTCCATCTCAAAAGAAAAAAAAAGCAGAAAGTACACAAATCAATGACCTTAACTAAGAACAGATGAAACCCAATGTATTGATAAGTAGAAAAAAAGAAAATAATGGCGATTAGAGCAGAAGTCAATGAATAGAATACCAGAAAAATGGTAGAGAAAATCAATAAAGCTCAAAGAGATAAATAAAATGGATAAACCCCTATCCTGGCTTATCCAGGAAAAAAATAAAAGAGAAAAGGCACAAATTGCCAATACCTGGAATAAGGGATGTGATATCGATATGGATATCGAAAGGATGAGGGAATAATGTGAACACATTTATGCCAATAAATCTGACAACCTAGATAAAAAGGGTAAATGACTTGAAATACAGACTTCCAAAGCTGAATTCAAGAAGAAATTGTTCAGCTGAATTTTAAATTAAATAAACAAAATTTGCAGTTTAAAAAAGAAACGCCAGGCTCAGATACCTTCTTGGTGGCTTCTACCAAATATCTGAGGAAGAAAACCTACAATCTCTAAAGAAAACCTTCCAGAAAAGAGAGGTGAGAATGCCCCCCAATTCTGTGAGTTCAATATTGACCTGCTAACGCACTAGACAAAGGCATCACAAGTAAACTGAAGACCAATGTCTGTCCTGAACGTAGATTCTGACAGACTTCTAGAAAGTTGAATTCAACAATTTATGAAAAGAATATTATCTTAGTTCATTTTTCTGTCGCCATAATAGAATGTCACAGGCTGAGTAATTTATAAAGAAGAGAAGTTTGGGCCGGGTGCGGTGGCTCACGCCTGTAATTCCAACGCTTTGAGAGGCTGAAGCGGGCAGATCACGAGGTCAAGAGATCAAGACCATCCTGGCCAACATGGTGAAACCCCATCTCTACTAAAATTACAAAAGTTAGCCAGGCATGGTGGCACGAACCTGTAGTCCCAGCTACTCGGGAGGCTGAGGCAGGAGAATCACATGAACCTGGGAGGTGGAGTTTGCAGTGAGCTGAGATCTGGCCACCACAGTGCATCCTGGCGACAGAGGAAGACTCCGTCTCAAAAAAAAAAAAAAAAAAAAAGTTTATTCTGACTCTATCCACCTGGAGATAAGACGAGTTTACATGGCCCATTGTTCTGGAAACTGGGAAGTCTGAGAGCATGGTGCTGGCCTCCAGTGAGGGCCCTCCTGCTGGATGGAGACGTGAAGCAAGGCAGAAAACCTGTCAGCTCAGGCTCTCTTCCTCTTCTTATAAAGCCACCAGTCCTATCATGGAGGCCCCACCCTCATGATCTTATAATCCTAATTACCTCCCAAAGGCCACCTTCAAATGCCGTCAACATATGAATTTGGAAAGTAAGTTTCCAGCACATGAAATTTGTTCAAAGTATAGCAAATATTATATCACAACCGGTAGGGTTCATCCCAGGAATGCCCAATGGCTTGACAATCAAAAATTAATGTAACTCACCATATTAACAGAATGAAAAAGAAAAACCATATGATCATCTTAGAAAAAGCATTTGATTAAATCCCACATTCGGCTGGGCTTGGTGGCTC